TGTCGCCGACTTCGGGTTGTCGTATCGGTATTTCCCTGTCGCGCTGGCTGTCGCCGACTTCGGGTTGTCGTATCGGTATTTCCCTGTCGCGCTGGCTGTCGCCGACTTCGGGTTGTCGTATCGGTATTTCCCTGTCGCGCTGGCTGTCGCCGACTTCGGGCATTGTTTGTATTCCCGATATCCTCAGCTGAGATCGCCACCTGGTACTGATATACCTTTTCTTTCCAGCACCTCATAGTCCTCTCTTCCGCTCCCTCTGCTTCTCTTCTCTGTGCCGCATCTTCATTGCCGCCCGCATTCGTGGAATTCTCGCATTTCTGCCACGTCGTTATTCGATCACGCTCTCGATGCTGCACGTAAATAATCTCCCACGACAAGCCTGCGGCCAAAGTTTCCCAGTCATTAAAATACTTTGCCATACTCTCCATGAACAGCTTCACAGTGCTGGGTTGGGTGTGATGCGCACCCCCCACAGTCGCCTGCAGCCCAACCATCGTCTTCCGCGGTGTGTCCACGAAGAAAAAGCCGTCTATCAGCGGAAAGATTCGCGAGTCCGGTACGTACAACACCCCATACTCCACATCAATCCTTGCGGGATTGCAGCTCAGTAATTCCAATACAACTGACACTTCTGGGTGTTTTTCAGTGTTTGATTGCAGCACACACGGCCGTCCCGGGCGATTTGTTGGTGGGCTCAGCTCCTTAATTCTTCCTTTTATACTATTCACAAAGCCCCTGTCCGTGAATGCGTGCACGCCATACTTTTCCAGAAATTCGGGCAAAAAGAGATCCCTAAAACACAATAATTGATACACAATGTCATTCTGCTTGCGTACCGCCGTCAGCCTTGAGAGTATTTTGTGTCCGAGTCGAAGACATACCGGTAGGTTTGCAAAACTTTCGGCCCTGTCAGGTCTACACATTCGGACGGCTTTCACAAGTTTATGAGACGCGTCATTCGCAGGCACCATTTCCTTTTCTCCAATTGGAATGTAATTATCAGCATTCGAAGGGTTGATCAAACCCAAGACACGATCAACCTGGGTCACACGATTTCTAACGAAGTTGCCATTAAAAATGCATCGTGGAATCGGTCCAATTTGATCCATGTGTTTTTCGACCATCTCCCAGTGTTGCGCTTGCTCCGCTGCGGGCTCAGCACGCGTCCTCCAGGCACACATCGCCTTCACATCAAGCTCGTCCGGGCAATTCATAACGATCTTTTCGGCCTTCTTTTGCTTCTCCCATCCTTTGAAGTTATCCTCGTTCGGTGACGACAACACAATGATGCCCCATGTGTCAGACGGCGGATAATACTTCGACGGTCCATGACCCTTTTCATCCACGTCGTAGATAACATACCCCTTCAGTTTACGCTGCCAAACCAAATAGTTCACATGAGTGGTAATATTGAGCGCACCCTCGTGTACTGTTGCCTTTTTCTCCTCCTTGTCAAACACGAAGGCCAAGTCTCCCCCAAAGCAGTACACCACCACTTGGAGTTTCGCGGGGTCGTAGTGGAGCAACCTGTAAAGGAGGTAGGAGCCGGCGTTCATAGATTTCCCTATGCCGGGTGTTCCAATCAAAAGACGCCGCCTCAAGTCAAACAGGTCCAGATCATCGGTGCCGAAGTTTCCCTCTAGATCGCCCTGGACGATCCTCCAAACACGATCCACCTCACGGTTAATGTAGCAATCTTCAATATTCTCTCTCTGCATCAGCGAGTAAGGCCACTTATCCTTGGACGAGAGTATCATCAGCCTTGGGCGCGGTGGGACAAACTGCTCTGCATCTTCCACCGGCAAAAGAGTAAAGCCATCCCGCGTGAAATCCCACAACTGTGCCGGTGGTTGGCCCGCTTTCACCTCCATTCGCACCACCATATTATTCCCTTCGCCCTCGGGAAATCCCAAGACGTGACTGCATTTCGCGTTTAACACAGAGTCGTAGAATCCGTCCGGCAACGGTTGGCTGATAATTTCATGTATCCTTTTTGCCCTTTCTTCTTCCCGCCGCTTTTCTTTCTCTTCCTTTCGTGCCGCTTCGGTTGCCTCCTCCACCGCGGCAAGGGCTGATCGAAGTTTTGTCCTTGTAGTAGCAGAGACAATGTTCTTCTGTTCAAAGTCCTTCCAGTCTTGGAGATTGCCCACCTCGTGTTCCATT